CTGACCAAAGATTAGAAAGTGATCACCTACCCTTAATGTTAACTCTATCACTCTCAAATATGATACATCTTTCCCCTGAGCCACATATAGATTTATTGATTTAATTTTATTTATTATTTTTTATACCCCGCCCCTCTAGGCAGAGTCTACTCAGGGCGGCTTACAATGTCCTATACGTACGTTATAAACCTTTAATCTGGACAAAGTAAATGATAATATTTCCAATTTCTTAAATTCCTCATTTGCTGAGAATTTAAGAAATTTAATAATGGCACCCATGGAATCTACTATGGCCTTATTTGTTTTAAACTATAACTCGCTGTTCCTAAAAATGTGTTCTGTTCTAACCCGAAAACAACTTCACTTTCATAGACAATTGGACAAGCTCATGCCTAAGTGGTTTGACACACAATGCTTATTCAAGAAAAAAACAACTCAGAGAAATTTACAAGCAGTACAGGAAAAAGAATCTAGCAGTTCTTCCTCAGGAGTATTATGTAGTTAAAAATCAATAAAAAACTCTGATTGTCCAGAAAAAGAAACAATCAACTCAGAAACAGTTGAATGTTTTTTAAGACTCTGTACCGAACAAAGATTCCAAACTATTCCGAGCCTTGGCGTCTGGGGCACTATCTGCCTGCTCAGGAACAGCTCATTGCAGCATTCTATGGGAAAAGCATTTTACTCAGCTATTTGAGGAGGACAAACCTATCCAAACGGTCAACATTTTATGGCTAGATTTACACTAACTGCCATATTGGGATCCAGTCACTGAAAATGAATTAAGGTCATTAATAACCTGTCTAAAATCTGGAAAGGCACCAGGTCAGGATCTAATTCCAGCAGAGTCCTTAAAGTCTAAAGCAGACTGGTGGGCCCCCCTTTTAGCTCAGTTATTTACATTCATTAACAACACTGGGCAAATCCCACATTCATGGTCAGAGGCAATAGTGATTCCGATCTATAAGAAGGGGAACAAAAATGAACCCTCAAATTATAGACCAATCAGCCTTACCTCTATAGTGGGTAAGCTTTATGCCAGATACTTAAATGACAGACTAAGCTCATGGATTGAGTTGGAAAACATTTTAGGGCACGAACAGGCTGACTTCTGAAAGACCCGCTCCACCTTTGACCATTGTATAGTTTTAAACCATCTTGCAGAGGAGTATATGGGACCCCATGGAAATGTCCTGTTTGCAGCTTTTAAAGACTTAAAGTCTGCCTTTGGTTCAAATCCAAGAGGAAATTTATGGAAAAAAAACTTTATTTTTCCTCAATTGACAAAAGGATTTTATATCTTATCAGAAGTATCTATCAGCAGTCCACAATTTGGGTAAGATGTGGAATGGATGGAAATCTGTCAAACCCCATTCAGGTGGAGAGGGTGGTTCGCCAAGGTTGTATATTGGTGTCCACACTATTTAACTTGTATCTTAATGACCTCTCCAAAAGTTGTTTAGCTCCTGAATATCACTCCTCGGAACTGGCTAAAATCAATGTACCACTGCTACTATATGCAGACGATGCAGTTCTCATGTCACTATCGGAAATTGGCCTTAAACACATCATGCGTGCCTTTTTGAGCTATTGCAGGGAAAATTTTACTAACAACCAATTTTTGACAAAACCAAAATAATGCTCTTCTCTAGACATAGTAAAACCAAAGATTGGGTTGTTGAGGTGGTCTATGCTCCAATAACCTGTGGCTACCTATATTATTTGCTGAAATATGGCTTTGTCAGCTCATGGCATAAGGAATTTATAGAAAAACTACATCTCTTAGGCTTCTCTATGGATTTCCTACTGAGATAGCGTCAAGGTAGCATTAAACCAATACTTATTCAACGTATCAAAGATATAGACCTTCAGTACTCTCTAGCTTGTGCAGACAGGACTTGTTCACCACTGTGTTTTGGCCTAAATTTTAACTTCCCCAAGCCAGCTAATTAAGGTAAAGGTAACGGTAAAGGTTCCCCTTGAGAGTTTGTCCAGTCATGTCCGACTCTAGGTGGTGGTGCTCATCTCCGTTTCCAACCCGTAGAGCTAGTGTTTGTCTGCAGACAATCCTCCGTGGTCACGTGGCCAGCATGACTAGACACGGAACACTGTTTACCTTCCCACTGAGGTGGTACTTATTTATCTACTCACATTTTTGCATTTTGCATGCTTCTGAGCCACTAGGTTAGTGGTTACTTATATTACTAATTACTTATACCAAATTATAGCACTGGAATATCGCTTTGCATTTTCAAGGGCTAGGTTTAATTGCTTTCCCTCATCCCTTTTAAAAGAGTGTTTTAATAACACCCCATACAGTGAAAGGATTTGTCCCTATGGGAAAGAAATTATTGAGACCTTGGCACACATCATTTTAGAATGTAGCCTATATAGAATCAAACGTATCCAATATCTTGGTTCACTCATGACTAAATGTACTGGTCTACTTACCACAAGCTATTTGAAATTTCTGTTGTCTGGAGAGAATCAAATAAATACACAGTTAGTGGCTAAGTTTTTATTTTCAGCTATAAGAACTCGCAAAATGCTATAGCAAGATTCTGTATGATATTATGTATTTATTTCATCTCTTTTATCTTTGTATGAATAAAACTTACTTACATTGCATGATAACATCACACAATAACACATCCAGTACTTTTCAACCTCTTCTGTTATACACCTGAGCAATGCAAGACTTTGATTTGATGACACTGTGATAAATAGGTTTGCAGCATGAGCCAAAAGGCAGACTGCTTAGATGCAAACATCTGTCAGCCTCACTTTCTCAATTTTTCACTAGCATTCTCATTCCACCTCTTTTCTGTACTGGATTATGTGACTTTTTTGCACACTTTTGCTAG